CTCATATCCACTGGATATATGACTCAGCAGCTTTTCAGTCAACCCAATTCAAGATGGCTACATCAACTAATTGAGCTTCGCAAACATAAAAATGGCTACAACTTTGTCACGTTTACAGATATTAAGTTTGATGTGGTAGTAGCAGATAGTCACCCCCAACATAGTTTGCAAGATTTCACAATATCTCATAAAATTGTGCATAAGCTTAGGTTTGACCAAAACAACTATGACTCTTGTCTCTTTTCAGCACAAGATAGTTTTCATTGAAAACTCTGGCAAGAAACACATTCAGGATAAGCCTTTAATTGATGCAATAAATCATTTACCAGTAGGTTCTTGATGTTTTACTCACTTTAAATACACCAGTGGTTCTTCTAAGATGGGAGTAGCTACAAAGTCCCCATGGATGGGGTCCAACAGGTGCTGTCCAAGTCACAAGATCCTAAAATATGTCCTCAACAAAACACAGGCGAAACCTTAGGAGGAACGGAACAACACGCTACAGACTCCTGTCGGAGAAACGGAAAAAGTTTGTCTGCATGTGTTATATGTTAGAGTGGTGCATGAAAGTTTGTGAACCCTTTAAAATTGTCTATATTTATGCATAAATATGACCTAATTCAATATTTAATTCTATATAATTTGCCTCATTAAATAAATGAGCAAGTATAATATTTTTCACTCATTTGTTTATCCGAGTTCTCTTTATCTTCTTTTAGGACTTTTGTGAACATCTGATGATGTTGTAGGTCATATTTATAGAACATTCTAAAGGGTTCACATAATTTCATGTACCGCAGTAGGTGACAAAGCAGCAGGTGATGCAAATAAGTGTTTTTAATCTTCTTTTAAAAGTCTTAGGATGCACAAAGATGAACTGCTGTAACTGACAAAGATATGGTCACAGAGGTGCAATGAAGGGGCTGCTGAAGTGAGAATACTGAGAAAAGTTGGAAAAGCTTTAAGATCACACTCTGGCTTCTCTGATTGCTGTTGAGCCATGTTGTGAGAGAGTTGCTGAAATGATCTGTGGGGGACGCGCGAGCCTCGCTCAGTGACCCACCTCAAAGGGAGAAGAGCTTGCACAGGGGGCTTATCCACTCAGTTACGGCTGGTATGTGTGAATGCTTCAAATGCTTCAAATGCTTTTGTGAACTCTAGTCATCGAGGAAGTAAATAGGAATTTTAAATCAGGATTTTATTTTCATTCAACCTTTATTTAGACAGGTTAATCCCATTGAGTCTCGGGGACTCATTTACAAGAGAGACCTGATTTCAACAAAGAATGATGACAACAATGGACAACAGCAACAACAACAGACAGTTATAAAAGAGGTGTACAGTTGTTATTTTTTTATTTATTTTTACAAATTAAAATAAGATGGCAAAAAATGCCATAAAGGCCAATGTAGAAAACTAAAAACAGGAACAAGTATTGGTCCTTGCCAGGAGTCCAACATTGTCATATTTTTTTATTTATTTACCCTTTATTTATACAGGTAGTCTCATTGAGCCACGAGAACTCATTTTCAAACAGATTCTTAAAGCCACTTAGAGAGGTCAAGGTCGAGAGGGTTGTGATCATCCTCACATTCTTTAATTTTTCCATCCATCCATCCATCCATCCATCCATCCATCCATCCATCCATCCATCCATCCATCCATCCATCCATCCATCCATCCATCCATTACCTGCTTCGTCCTTTTTGGGTTGTTTAGGTTTTGGTGCCCATGTCCAGCAATCACTGCAAGGGGTGGGGGACACCCTGGACAGGTTTCCAGTCCATCACAGGGCCACATAGAGACAAACAACCATTCACTCTCTCACTCACAGGGACAATTTAGAGTTACCTGTCAGCCCAACATGCATGTTTTCAGTCTCTGGGAGGAAACCAGAGTACACAGAGAAAACCCACTCATGCACGGAGAGAACATGCAAACTCCACCCAGAAAGGCTCCTGGACTGGGATTTGAACCATGCAGGGCAACCTGCTCACTGAGAGGCAGCAGGTCTACCAGTTGCACACCGTGCTGCATTCTTTAGTCTGTTGCAGCTAAATAATATAAATAAACCCAAAATAGCAGAAAATGATCAACTGATGTTCTTTTCTCATATTAAGCTTCTGTTTCAGCTTTGAGAGGGATAATTGGTTCAAGATTATCAACTTTTTTCTCTTTTTATAAAACCCTTAGAACATTAATATAACTCTTGAGTATTTATTATTATTTATTTATTTTTATTCTTATTATTATTTTATTCTCTTTCCCCGTGGAGGGTGAAGAAGACAGGAGTGGACGTCTTAGCATGAAGGGGCGTGTCTCTCTGACGCCCATATTTGGTCGCAGAAGTGGTCAAATGTCAAGGAGAGGCAAATCAGTGAGGGGGATCATAAAAAGACAGGTCCCGCAGTTGGCAAGCAGCTGCAACTCTTTCTAAAAAGCTTTAGGTATCCGGCTCTTTCATATCACATCTTTGCGCTCCAGCTTGGCGTTCAGTGGTCAGAGCGTTTCGATCCTTTCCATCCAGTCTCTTTGTTGCTTTCAGCCATGGATGCTATCAAGAAGAAGATGCAGATGCTCAAGCTCGACAAGGAGAACGCCTTGGATAGATCTGAGCAGGCTGAGTCCGACAAGAAAGGAGCAGAGGACAGGAGCAAGCAGGTGGGTATTCCTGTGCGCCTTTACGCACAGGCGCCATTAGCACGGCGCGCTTCACCGCTTCCACTCAGTCAGTGTCTCTTTTGATCTATTAGTGAGTTTTATACTCAGGAAACTGCTTTAAAAACTCAAAGCAGTTCTTTGAATTGACATGTATACTTTGTGAAATTGAAAATGTTGGAAATGTTTATGTTTGCTAAAATTCAATTTTATCATGAAACCAGTCTGTCATTTGAAATAAGCTGATTGTCACAGAGTACTAATTATTTAAAGTGGTGTTAAATAGCACAATAAATCCCATTTTTGTTCTGTAAAAAATGTGTTTTCGATCTGTTCTGAGTCTCTCTTGGATATGTAAACAAATCTCTGGTTTGGTTTCCCTGCATGCGCGCCAGCTTGAGGATGACCTGGTGGCGCTGCAGAAGAAGCTGAAGGGAACTGAGGACGAGTTGGACAAGTACTCCGAGGCTCTGAAGGATGCGCAGGAGAAACTGGAGCTTGCTGAGAAGAAAGCCACAGATGTGAGTTAGGACTGAGGAGCAAACTAAAGAAAGGCACCCACTCTGGTTGATGACTTAAACCAAAACGACTACCATCCTCCCCAAACAGACTCCATTTTAATACAGTATTAAATCCTGTGACAACTATGGGTTGAATAGAATAAATAAAGGGGTTGGCAAATTTAGATCTTTTGCCAAATTTGGTAAGGCCACATCTCAATGGTTTACTACTGTATTTGCACAGCCATTTGAACATAGTGTGTCATGCAGTGTCTGGTTTTAGGAGGCGTTTTACAAGAAACAATTTATCTATAAAAAATTATGAGATGCTTCTTGTATCGGCTGGTTCTCCTCTGCTCTACCCTCAGATGGACACCATAGTTTGTCTGCATTTAGCGTTCACCAATCTCATAACGAAGAAACAACAACAACCTCTGAGGCAACAAAAATGAAGTTAGGAAAACGTTATTAAAACTGGATTCACTTTGATCTGCATTAAAACTGACGGACAAGTTAAACTAAACTAATGGAAGAGCCCAGAAAAAACTAACAGAATAGATTAACGATTAATCGAACTAAAATCAAAAATGTACACAGTTGGGGTTGCAATATTTATTTCCATCAACACTGTATACTTCTTGTTTATCAAGGTTCAAGGTTCTTTATTGTCATTCGCATCACATGTAGTACATGAGGTGGATCGAAATTGTGTACACAAGGTCCCAGTTACATACAAAAATAGCAATAATATAAACTATAAAAATGAAAAAGTTCACAAGGATCTAAGATATACACTAAACAATAATAATATAATACAGTGTATTAAACAGCAGCCTGAACATGGGTGTTGTGAGCAGATGGGTATGAATATAGCAGCTTATGGGTAAGAAATCAGCAGCATGGATAATCAGCAGCACAGCTAATGTGACAAATGTCTAAATTAAGTGGCAGTGATTTTCCTGGTTAGTGATTCATGAGTCTAACAGCTTCAGGGTAGAAGCGGTTCCTTGGTCTTGTGGTTCTACACTTAATGCTCCTCAACTTCCTGCCTGAGGGGAGCGGGGCAAAAAGTATGTGTGCTGGGTGAGTGGGGTCCTTCATGATGCAGGTGACCCTCTTCCTGCATCTAGAGGTGTAGATGTCTGTAATGGTTTGGAGGCTGATTCCAAAAGTCTTCTGTGCAGCCTTCACCACTCTCTGCAGAGCTTTCCTTTCATGTAATCCATGCTGACTATGTCACAGTATATAATGTAAACAAACCAAAATGAACTCAAGATAAACTTTATTTAACTCATGCAAGAAATTAATTTAGGCCTGACTGCAAAATCAACAACTGACTAGGTAAATAAAATTACTTCATCGGTCTGCTTAAAAGTTGATCAGAGCATGGTCGCCAATAATAACCTTTAATGTTAATTGATTAAACAGGTCTCTCTTGGAAATGCGTCCTCGTGACTCAGTGAGACTAACCTGTGTAAATAAAAGTTGAATGAATTATTCAAAAGTGGAGAAACATAACTTGTAGTTTTGTAATCAATAGTGGAAAGAGTGTGAAACTTTATAAAATTGTTCTGGTTGGTAAACAAAAGTGTTTATAGAAATTCTACTAATAATATGCGTTTTTAATAAAAAATAATAACAGTGTTAAAACTAAAATAACTGTGTAGCTCTTCTTCTACGGTTGCTGTGATGTCTAAGCTCTGATCTTGATAGGACTGGCTCAATTAACCAGGCGGGGATGCAAGCAGAATTGATCACGCATTAACTTCTTCTAGAGAGAGCAGAACGCATAAAAAATGACATGAAGGTATCAATTAAAAATGTAAGAAAGCCATACTTCACATGTTCGGGTTAAAGCGAAACATTTCGTGGTTTCAGATTGAATGTTGTTACTTCCGGTCTGGGTGGCACGGCCCAATCCTCATCAGCGGCTGATTAAAGGCGGTGGGGGCAGGGATCAAAGGAGCCGCATCCCCACGAGTCTGTCTGTGTCTCGGCTGAGGTAGCCTGCACAGAGCTGAGACGAGACGGTAGTTAAAAAAATAAATAAAATAAAAAAAGAGGGGAAACATGGCCGGTGGGAGCTCTCTGGAAGCCGTGAAGAAGAAAATCAAGTCGCTGCAGGGGCAGGCCGATGCGGCGGAGGAGCGCGCGACGTTATTACAGCGGGAACTGAACCAGGAGAGGAGTGCGAGGGAAGCAGTAAGCTGCTCGTGATTTAAGGCAATTAGTCTCTTGGCTGCGGGAGGCATTAGCTGCAAATCTGGTCAAATATAAGCGTGGCTGCGAGGCCCGTTTTTCTTTGTTTTTGCGTGTCTGGACAGAGATGAATTAGAAATGTGAGAGCAGGAGGAGGATGGGGGTGCTGAAGGGACACCACCCTGATTGAACAAGCAGGCCAAATGTTAATGCAGGAGGTAACTAGCCCTACCGGCTAGCTTGATTATCAGGAGGTGACTTTATCCTCCTCCTAAGCCGCAGTTTCTTGCTAATTTATTTAATGGATTAAATATTTAAATCACTGGGATGCAGAAGAGAGAAGGAGGAGAGGGTCTTTACAGCTGTGCCACATTATAATTAATGTAAATGATTATTAAATAAAGACTTTAATGAGCATTATGAATCTTGCATCCCTGACAAGTTTGAGCAAGTAGCTTTTTCTTTGAAGAACTTTTAATTATTATTATTTCCACTCAGCAGCTCTGTACTATCCAAATAAGCCTGATTTGACTGTGTCATTGTGGTGATGTGCTCTGCAGGCTGAGGGTGACGTAGCCTCCCTGAACAGACGGATCCAGCTGGTTGAGGAGGAGCTGGACCGGGCTCAGGAACGTCTGGCCACAGCTCTGTCCAAGTTGGAGGAGGCTGAGAAGGCTGCTGATGAGAGCGAGAGGTGGGTGGATCCGTCACCTGTTCAACCGTTGCACTCTTAAGCATGTACTCCACATAAACGCACACAGGAAATGTTCAAAACTTGCATGTTTAGGCTGCTTTCTTCCCAGGCCTCCCTTGAAAAAGATGTTCTTTAAAGGTAATTTCCTAGTTGAATAAAGGTTAAAAACGAACACCAGTGTTTGGATATACATGGAATCAAAAGTTTGTTTTGGCTGACTTTAACAAGTTGAGTTTTGACATCCAGTATTGTCTGTTGGCTGTACTTTTCACACAGAACCACTTATCAGGTAGGAAAGTGCAGCTGCTGTCTATTCTACTGGTAAGTGGAAAAAGGTGAAGTTCAAGTCTGTGGGGGAACTAGTGCCTACCCCCAGCAGTCATCGGACTCCTTCTCACACATGGTGACAATTAAAGAGTTGTCAATTAACCTAACGTGCATGTTTTTGGTCTAAGGGAGAACACTGGAGTACCTGGAGAAAATCTATGCATGCAAACTACATTAAAAAAAGCTGCAGCCTGGTTGCAAAGCTACAACCTTCTTGCTGTGAGGCACTCACACTAACTACTGTTTCTCTGTTGTCCTTTTAAAGTAAATGGATGGATGAAAAAAATACATAGTGGCCTTAACGGAAAATAAAGAAATTGGTGATTTATATCTACCTGCCTGCAGCCCTGTGACGGATGCGACCGGTCCAGGGTATCCTACCTCTTACACAATGACCGCTGGAGATACGCACCAGCTCCCAGTGACCCAAAAGGGAAAATGTGGGTTAAAAACATGGATGGATATTGACAGTCAGCTTTCATAATTTCCAAAAATCTGTATCGTCCATAAAATAGCCTGCATCAGGTTACTTTTGTATTTTAGTGTTTTTTTTTCAATTGATACATTTGAATATTGATATGACACAATTTGTCCAACAATAACTGAGGATGCAGAAAATCAACAACTTGTACATGCTGGAGATTTGATGCAAAATAAACCTAAAATTAGGATCATGATTGGCGGCATGGTGGCTCAGTTGGTAGAAAATTGTTGGATTGTATACCTGGATTATTGAGCATGGACCTTTTTGACATTATTTGTCTTTAAAGCAGATAAATGAAATTGAACTTTATAGATTCAGTGGTTAAATTTAAGTTATTCCTTTTTTACACTGTGGAAATGAAATAGAGATTTAAGGAAACATTCTTGTAAAGTGCTGTACTGTTTCAGTGCTGCCTCTAGTGGCTTGAAGTTGTATTGCACCTCCACTCAAAACTGCATTTGAGGCTGCATTTCCCTGGACTGACTGCAACTGTTGAACTAGTTGGAGACACACATCTGCAAGAAAATCTGATTCTCTTGCACAAACTCTGTAAAAGTTGATGTTAGTATGCTTGCATGTAGACGAAAACAATGCAGCTCTAGAAATATGAAAAACGGCAAGGTTTAAGAGGGGTTACTATTCCAAGAGTAAATTTGTCCTGTCAATTTTTGAACGTTCAAAATTCCAGTTACGTGAGAGCGAGGCTCTCCCACGTACACAAGTGAATTTAGAATCCTCGCAAATGTTTTACAACATTTTGGAAACTCTGTTGTGAATAACTTTGGTAATTTATTGCCAGCAGTTGCAACCCAGTGGCCTTTATTTTTCAATTCAACCTTTATTTATACAGGTTAGTTTTATTGAAACTCAAGGACTCATTTACAAGAGGGACCTGTTTTAAACAAAGAATGATGACAACAGTAGACAATCATAAAAAAAACATATAAATTGAAAAGTAAATGGAAGAAATCATATATAAAAAAACGGATGCATTATAAAGCGATATAAAATACTAAAAACAGGAATCGCTCAAATTAGATTTTTATGATGTATATTTAAGCTACTAATGACTGAGGATGCAGAAAATCCATGACAATTTGTACATGCTGGAGATTTGATGCAAACTAAACCTAAAATTAGGATCATGATTAGCGGCACGGTGGCTCAGTTGGTAGAGCTGTTGCCTCTCGGCGAGAAGGTCGATGGATTAAATCCCAGCTGGGGGCCTTTCTGGGTGGAGTTTGCATGTTCTCTCCGTGCATGCGTGGGTTTTCTCCTTGTACTCCAGTTTCCTCCCACAGACCAAAAACATGCATGTTAGGCTGAAACTCTAAATTGTCCCTAGGTGTGAGAGAGAGAGTGAATGGTTGTTTGTCTCTGTTCCTGGGATGGACTGGAGACCTGTCCAGGGTGTAGCCCACCCCTCGCACAGTGACTGCTGGATATGGACACCAGTGACACCCATGACCTGAAAAGGAAGAAGCGGGTAAAGATGATGGATGGATGGGTCATGATTGACAGTCAAATTGTCTGCCTTGTGTTTGAGTTTGTTCATCCATGCATCATTGATGAACCTATGAGTGGACAAATATTCATGATTTACTGGATGATTATTGTTAAGTCTATGTAATCCCTCCTATAATTTGACTTTCACTGATGTGTATACACACACACCCACACAGGCACAATAGGATGTGTTTTGTGCAACATGCTGTTTAACTAAACTCCTGTCAGCTACTGGGATATTCTCATTTGTAAAAGAAGGAAACTGCATGAACTTACCTGCCGTTCTGTTTTCTTCCCTTCAGAGGTATGAAGGTCATTGAGAACAGAGCGATGAAGGATGAGGAGAAGATGGAGCTGCAGGAGATCCAGCTGAAAGAGGCCAAACACATTGCTGAGGAGGCTGACCGCAAATATGAGGAGGCAAGTTTGCCAGCCGTCTGCCATCATTGTTTTGTCAGATTAATAATGGATGCAGGAAAGGGTTCAGCTCTTTGTCCATTTGACCTGAGAGACTACATTCTGTGTGATTTCAGGTGGCCCGTAAGCTTGTGATCATCGAGAGTGACCTGGAACGTACAGAGGAGCGTGCCGAGCTGTCCGAGAGGTAGGAACCCTCCCTCCCATCAGGAGCTTAGGTTGAAAAAATTTACTTGTTCGTTGCTTATTCAACCAAACTGCAACTTTACAGCAAATGCTCCGAGCTGGAGGAGGAGCTCAAAACGGTGCAGAACAACCTGAAGTCTCTGGAGGCTCAGGCAGAAAAGGTAAAGTTTTAAATTTAAGAATATAAAGTTGAGATAAAAAATGTATATAAAAAAAAAAAAAAAAAAGCCCACTGCATTACATATTTTACTAACTCTGATTTTTTGTGAGACAACAGTACTCACAGAAGGAGGACAAGTATGAGGAGGAGATCAAGGTTCTTACAGACAAGCTGAAGGAGGTGGGTGAGCTAAAGGAACTGTTCACAAACGATTTATCCGTTCAGTATTTAATGTGAATTTCACGAGGCTCTTTCTGAACTGGTATATTGTCTACAGCTCTACTTTAAATATGCTGACATTATAGTTTTATTCAAGCTTTTTCCTGCCTGTATGGGCTGTGGTTTGTAATGTAAACCACCTAATGGCGTTTCTAATGGGTGACTGCTCCTCCTTTCAGGCTGAGACTCGTGCTGAATTCGCTGAGAGATCAGTCGCCAAGCTTGAAAAGACCATTGATGACCTGGAAGGTATGGATCGTTTACTCTTTGTTTCTGGCAGAGCTTAGTTCCAATGTTGGCCCATAAGTAGATGTCAATGCAGTTTTTCTCTGAAATTTACTTCTCAGGTTAGTGTTAATAGAAAGTGGTTTAAAAACCACTGACTGTAAAGTTCATTTGGTCAGCCTCGTGTAAGACGGTCTCAGATCAGATATCTGCAGGCTCGGTTGTCTGCTGAGAGGACGAAGCAAAGCGGCGATGCGTGGTGATATTCATGTTGGTAACATTTCTCACCACACTGTGGTGCACAAGGCCGTGCTGTCCCCGAGCAGCAGAGCTCTGGAGCATGTGAGGAAGGTTTTCTGTGACTCCTCAGGAATCTGACACCATGTCACCAGCTGTTCTCACTCCCTTCTTGTTTCTGTCATGGCTTTCTTATTTGCCCCCCCCCGTTCGTTTCCCTCTGACATTTGATTTTTTTTCCTAATTTGTTTCAAATCATTTTCTGCCACTTATGAATCGCAACACAATAGACGAGCTGTACGCCCAGAAACTGAAGTACAAGGCCATCAGCGAGGAGCTGGACCACGCCCTCAACGACATGACTTCCATGTAATTCTCAACATGCCTGTTTTTGTGCTGTAGATCCCTTTAAAACCCACACTTCTCTCTCAGTAGCTCCCTCTTGTGGCATGTTTGGGTGCAGTGATTTGCTCCAGATCTAGAGGGTTTTTACATTCCCCTGATCTGCAGCACTAACTCAGATGTGTGAATAATCCAAATGTTTTTGGATCTGTAGGTGCTGGTCATAAAATCTGAATATCATGAAAGTTTATTTCATTAATTCCATTCAAAAAGTGAAACTTGTATATTATATTCATTCATTACACACAGGGTGATATATTTCAAATGTTGTTTTCTTTTAATGTTGATTATTATAACTGACTAATGAAAACCCCAAATTCAGTATCTCGGAAAATTAAAAGATTAAGACAAAATATATATATTTTTAGAAATGTTGGCCAACTGAAAAGTATGAACATGAAAAGTATGAGCATGTACAGCACTCAATACTTAGTTGGGGCTCCTTTTTGTCTGGATTACTGCAGTAATGCGGCGTGGCATGGAGTCGATCAGTCTGTGGTACTGCTCGGGTGTTATGAGAGCCCGAGTGGCTCTGATAGTGGCCTTCAGCTCTTCTGAATTGTTGGTTCTAGTGTATCACATCTTCCTCTTCATGGGGGTAAATGTCAGGCGAGTGCTAACCAATAAAGAGGGATACCATGGTCCTTAAACCAGGTACTGGTAGCTTTGGCACTGTGTGCACGTGTCAAGTCCTGTTAGAAAATGAAACCTGCATCCCCATAAAGTTGATCAGCAGCAGGAAGCATGAAGTGCTCCAAAACTTCTGGTAAATGGCTGTATTGACCTTGGACCTCAGAAAACACAGTGGACCAACACCAGCAGATGACATGACACCCCAAACCATCACTGACTGTGGAAACTTGACACTGGACCTCAAGCAACATGGATTCTGTGTCTCTCCTCTCTTCCTTCAGACTCTGGGACCTTGATTTCCAAAGGAAATGCAAATTTACTTTCATCAGAAAACATAACTTTGGACCACTCAGCAGCAGTCTAGTCCTTTTTGTTTTTAGCCCAGGTGAGATGCTTCTGACACGCTTTCTTGTTGAAGAGCTGCTTGACACAAGGAATGTGACACCTGAAACCCTTGTCTTGCATATGTCAGTGCGTGGTGGTTCTTGAAGCACTGACTCCAGCTGCAGTACACTCTTTGTGAATCTCTCCCACATTTTGGAATGGGTTTTGTTTCACCATCCTCTCCAGGGTGCGGTTATCTCTTGCTTGTGCACCTTTTTTTTCTTCTACCACATCTTTTCCTTCCCTTCACCTCTCTATAAATGTGCTTGGACACAGAGCTCTGTGAACAACCAGTCTCTTCAGCAACGTCATTTTGTATCTTGCCCTCCTTGTGCAAGGTGTCAATGGTTGTCTTCTGGACAACTGTCAAGTCAGCAGTCTTCCCCATGATTGTGTAGCCTACAGAACTAGACTGAGAGACCATTTAAAGGCCTCTGCAGGTGTTTGGAGTTAATTAGCTGATTAGATTGTGGCACCAGGTCTCTTCAATATTGAACCTTTTCATAATATTCTAATTTTCTAGGATATTGAATTTGGGATTATCATTGTCAGTTTTAATCATCCACATGAATAGAAAGATTTGAAATATGTCTGTGTGTAATTAATGAATATAATATATGGAATTGCTGAAATAAATTTTCATGATATACTCATGTTATGGCCAGCACCTGTGTTTTAACTACATTCCTAGTTTTCATGTTTGACGTGACTAAAATAAAATAAAATAACATTTTCCTCAACACTTAACGTGTATCTCAACCATAGTTTTAGTCGCTTTTCTTCTTCATCCCTTTTTTTCTTGATTTCTTCATTTGCCTAATTTCTTTTTCCTCCCTCCAACTCATTTTTCTGTTTTTACAGCTGAACGTTTTTACTCTGCCCTCCAGAAGCTGGTTGAGCATCATCCTTCTCATCACTACCATCCTTTCTCTCCTGTGCAGCACTGCCCAACTCTCTGTATATGTTTTTATGTCTGTATTTCTTTACTGCCGAGCCACATGCTGCCCGCTGGGCTGTCGCTGCCACCATCTACTGTCCCATCGCCCATACAGACTTCTGAGCCATATTGCTTTCTGTAAAATAAACATTTTTTTTCCATCAACATCTGCCCGCTCTTGTTCTCTTGCCACGTTTCTTCATTCGTTTCTTTTTTTATTTTTATTTTTCTTCAGTGCTTTAATTTATTTTTGCTGAGAAGCTTTTGAATAAAGCATTTAGCTCCCCTCCTTTTTATTGTTTGAGAGGCCTTGATAAATGTGTAGGTTACCATAAATGGAACTAGACAACTCTTTGAACAGATTTAATATGATGATGATGATGATTCAATGTCACTGATCCACACATCATCTCGGTTACCGCATCCTTTACAGAAGCCATTCAATTTTGTTTTAATTAGGTCAAAATGTAGAAATGGCAACACCTCAACAATTAATACACGTCTTAAAATAAACCTGTCCCCCTAAAATGTAACAAAGTAGAACTTCAGGCAGAAAACCAAACTTTACTAATATTGAAAATGAAAAGGCGTAATTCCTTGAAGGAATCTGTTTCTTGTTTATCTTTCATGCCCAACGTTGGAAGATTTCACTCAATTTGTCAGAGCTCAGAGTAAGAGTGGCTTTCAGCTACTACCACTCCTAAATTGAGCTCAGTATCTGTAAACTGACTGGGTTATTTTAGTTGGCTAAGTACGACTTGCTGTGGTGGCCAATTTGAAATGGGTTAAACAATCTTGGATTGATTAAATCCATTCTGTGGTTCAAGAGATATTTTGCTAACAGCCTGACATTCAGATAAATACATGATCGCCCACTTATCATTAAAAACACATTAATTAACCAATTGATTTTAATCTGTGATACTGGTCTTATTTTTTTTTTTTTATGCCTGTACGTACATAATCAGTTAAGTTAAAAAAAACAGCGATGACAGAACTCAAAGCAATCTGCTGGCTCCTTGCATAAATAACCTTAACTGATTTTATATTCAGTCCCCTGAGACGACTTCTGTTGTGATTTGGCGCTATATAAAAAAAGTGGAATTGCTACAACCAATGGAGTTTAGTTTAATTTAATTTTAAGCAAATTGTCTTCTAAGGGTTGTTAAATTTATTTAGTAAACGAAAACTAGATATTTACACACACATGAAATAAATGTAAAAATCGCCATCAGCAGTTCAGAGAACTTTTCTTGTCAGAGGTAACGACCTAAATTGAGTAGTTTTTTTTCTAAAGAAAGACCAATGTCAGAAAGGAGGTAAGTTATTGGAATATCTTTAAGGTTTTTTTTTTTTTTTTTTTTTTTTTTTTATTGTTTTAAAGACCTACATATGTTGCCAGTTTAAACTATTTAACATGTTATTTAATAAAACTTAGCAGTGGGTTTAGGAATAAAATCAATTTGCAAAAGACTTAATGAGACAACGGTTCTTTGCTTTAGGTGTCTGTAAAGTGAAAAGCTGAACAGTAGCAGTTTGTTTTAAACAAGACATTTTTTTAATGTTTAAATCAATGTTACAACTTGGTCCTTTCTGTACTAACTTGCCTTCTGTCTCTTTCCCTTTTTCTCTTCCTGCTTTCTGACTGTCAAGACCATCTATACAAGCAGCTTGAGAAAAACCGTCTTCTGACCAATGAACTGAGAGTAGCCTTAAACGAAGCGTAAGCTGGAGTGGCTTCACATGCGCTTGGTGTTCTGACACTTCAGAGTCCAGACATATCGTCACGTTATCAGAGAAGACGATAGTCTCTACTACACACACAAAAAAAACTAGGAAGAATATTAATCATATGTACTCGCAAAACGACACTTGGCTTAAAACGAAAAACGCAGTGGATTTGTTCAGAAATCGAACACGTGGACTCGTGCACTGCAGCTCACACATCTGGAGGTTTTTAATATTCTAAGGGTTTTAAAGGCTTTTTGTTTCTCTGTGCCCAAGGCTATTTTCAACTAAAGTGATCCATAACCTGAGAATATGTGGAACATGTGTTGTTCGGCTACACTTGGACCAGAAGTAGTAATGATATCGATTGTACTGGAGGTTTGACTTGCTCGGCCTTATTGGAGTGAACTACTTACATGTAGCATGCCAGTGTAGAGTCAAACACCGGTGCTATGACCATGTGTTGCTTTGCTAACATTGGTTATAACCGTTTAGAAAAGCCTTGAATATAGAATGGGTATTAGCTGCACAGAAGATTGTATGAAATGGCATGTAGCAGCATGAACATGGTGCTAAATGTTCCAACTAACTCCCTTGTGATTTACAAGATTCCACCTTTTTTAATACCATACTTCACTGTAGGATATAATTTCTACAAAGTTTTTGTTTTAGACTCTACACCGCAGTGCAAATAAGGAAACTGTATCTCCATCAGTAGCTTGACTAACATAAAAAAAATAAAATCACTTCTCAAAATGAATCTGGGCTTGTGCTCACAGCATTAATTTGAAGATGGGCTATTTGGTTATTGAGCGTTTTTATTCATTGTGAGGGGGGAAAATATATACTGCAAGGTAAAATTTCATAAACGTGAGGGAGGTTTGTTGCAAAATCTGCATGTCTTTAACTGATGTAATGCTATATTGACAGATAAACTCACAAGTTCTAATGCAGAGGGCCTGAGATTACAGCAGATGATGGATCGGACACTTCTGGAGATGGTTGGTCTTTGATCCAGCTCTGTTCCTCCTCCCCACGGCTACACGGTCAAAAGGCTGGCTCCCACAGAAGGCTGCTACAGATTGCAGTGGAGTCTGCATTTGTCCCTCTGTCACATGAAGACCCAAGTTGTACACAAAGTAGCAGACAGCTTTGAGGTAAACCTCAGCTTCAGTGTTTAAATGGGCACGCTGCATTCCAAGGTCAGCTAAGTCACCTTAACGTTTACATGTACATGCTGGGACTTTGCATTTTTGGTGGGAAGTTTGTGATCAATATGAAGGAAGCCATAACTGAAGCCAAGTTTATTTTAATGGAACTTTTATTACCCGTACTTTTTGTTAGGTCACTTGTGCGTTTGTTTCATTTGTGTTTCATGAAACACATGATGCCAGTTTGTTCCTCCAAATCAGCAACCGTTTTTTTTTTGTTTGTTTTTTTTTGGCACACTTTAACAAATGTATTATTTGCTAACCGAAGCAAACATCTCTGTAAGGTTTCTAAATGCTTTCTTCATGTGTAGACTAAATTGTTTTTTTTTTTTTTTTTGTCTCCCATTTTATCTTGGAAATGTATGATTCACAAATAAATGGTCAAATCGAGTCACATTGTTACTGGGTTGTTCACATATATACAGACCCTTGCCAAAAAATTACAATATCATGGAAAAGTTTAACTTTTTGAATTGAATTATGGAGGTTAATCTTTAATAGATGATAGATTCAAGGCCTGCAATTTAAATTATTTCAAGTATTTATTTGTTAATTTGACATAATTTGGGCTTCCAGCTCATGAAACCCAAGAAAACAGGAATTCAAAAAATTAGAATACTGTAAAGAAATCAGCTCAAATGTTGCAGGGCATGAATGTTTTAAAACTGTGTGACACACTAATCATCTACTAAACTCAAAGCACCTGCATAAGTTTCTCCCAGGTGTCAATAAATTTGCTTCAGTTCGGTTCAATATGGGGATGACTGCAGACATGACTGGCCAGAAGACCATCATTGATGCCCTCCATAGGATGGGTAAGCCACAAAGTTCATAGCTAAGGAGGCTGGCTGTTCACAGAGTGCTGTGTCCAAGCATATCAATGGAGAGTGTAGTAGAAGGGCAAAATGTGGCAGGAGAAGAAGCACCAGCAAAAGAGATGACTGGGGGCTTCAGTGGATTATCAAATGGAGAAGATTCCAGAATCTGGCAGTGGAATGAGGTG